GTTTTAGGTAACTTAATTTTCGTTACGGTTTAGGGTCCGTTCACTTCAGCTTAATTTCAGTTCAATTCAACTCCAATCAGTTCAGTTCAGCTCCTAATTTCCTTCTCTCATAAATTATTTAATTCAGCTCAGTTCAGTTCAATTCAACTCCATCAGTTCAGTTCGATCAGCTCCAATTAGTTCAGTTCAGTATATGTGAACGGGTTCTTAATTTATCAATTTGATGAATCAAGTTATTATTTCAAGTCAGATGAATAGGTAAATGCAAGTCAATTACTATATCAAGTACGTCTAATTTCCCTCGCTCAATTATTCCCTTATTTGAATTGAATGTTTCTCATTCGAGGCCTTGCACCTACCTCATTTGCTCTATGATAAACTAAATACAATACACATGAATTAATAACAAGCTAAGACAAAGGATTAAAGGGCACACCAATATTTACACATTACACTACGTATATTGAATTTTTTCTTCTTATAATTATCGTGGTATATATTTTGGGTATGCTAATAAAATATCTACATAATATCATATGTGGTGGTCCTTGCATTGACCAACTATACTTTTCAGGAAAAAAAAACTTATATAGATCTCATAATTTGATATTAATTTGGTATAATTAGAAATGGAATTGTTGAATCTAATTGCAATTAAATCAAAGAGTGGATGATGACAATGAGAAAAAGTGCAATTGACTAAATAGTTAATCTTTTCGAGCCCATAAACTTTAGCTCCTTAAAATAAAGTTTAAAACGTTGATTATAGTCAAACAAGCTAGGCTGACCATCTTCATACATCACCCTAAATATTAAACAAATTATCACAACATGATATAAAGGAAAGACAAGCAAACGGAAAATAAAGTGTTGGGTCCAAAAACTCCAAAATAATTCGTTGCATTTGTTTACAACTTGGTGTTTTTGGCTTATAATTGGGCCACATCAAGTGCACTTTGAAAGCTATATATTAATTAATCAATTATCAAAACAATCTATCTAATTAAGACAGTACTCAAATTGATTACAGTTAAGATGACCAAAGAAAAGTGCGTGAATAGTGTTAAAATCAATACATACATGCTATAAAGAAATGGATGAAGTATTAGTTTATAAGTGTAACTAATCTTGAAAGGAAGTGTTAATACTCCAGAAGTCCAGAAACAAAGTATGAAAGACGATGGACTCATAAAATGCAAATAAAACGTAATTATGTTACAAAATTTTAAATCTATGATAGCTTTTAGGACTAAATTTAATTCGTATTATTATTATTATTGAGTACTCGAATATTCTAAGAGTAAGAGTACGATAGAATGATAGTCAAGAAGGAAAAACTTGTAGTCCAATGGGAAAAAGGAGGGACATAATTTAGTCTTTAGAGTTTAGAACTCAAAAATAAAGGAAGAAGAGTCGTAAGCATAAAGAGATGGAAGTAATAGATTGGTTTAGAAAGAGGGAAGAAAGTAGTCTTCAACTACAAAAAAAGAAAGAAAGTGGTAAGTGTGTCCGTTAAAGTCGTCAATACATTAGGAAGTACTTGTAAGTTGTATGCCTTTGTAATTTGCATGTCCCACTGTCCCATTTTTTTTTTTTTTTTTTTTCCTGGCAAAGGTTAATCAAATAATTTTGTTATAAAATTAGTTTAGGTTAATTTAATAATTTTGATGTAAAATTGGTTACAAAATTTTCATAAAGTAAACATAAAGTGACAAAATAAAAAATAAACCGGTAGCAATTTTTATTATGTGTTGTACATATGATGAGAAATTATATACGAAGTAGAAAATACGAGTATCATTTATAGGACATGGTATACATATACTCTATTTATTTTAAATATCATTAATAAATAATCTTGAATTAATCAATAATCTCATCATCAGTCACTGCTCTCACTAATAATTATTTATTTCTTATGTGATGATCTCAAAAAATTTATTTGAACTAATATGAAATAAATATGGTGTTAGGATTTATTATTTATTCAATTAATTATATATATTAGGGACAGAATTTTAAGACCTTTGATCATAATTCATAAATTTATAGTATATGTGAGAAATGACCATATTATTTAGGTGTGACTTGTGAGAAACGACCATATTATTCTTTTTCTCTTGTCCATTTCTGTAATAAAAAATGTTGGAAGAATTCAAGTAAAACGGACAAATTATGGTGATAAAGAAAAAGTGGGGATTTGTGAAATCGTAGTGTTTCTTACGAAAATGTTTAGTTGACTTTTTATGTTTTGGGTTGGTTGACTTTATTGCTCCAATGCTCAAAGCTTCTAACTTTGGTTGTAACTGCTTGAAGCTTACTAGCTAGGGACTGCGGAATAGGGAGGAAGTAGATTGCTTTTATTTATTTTTTAGTGATTTTTTTATTTTTTGTAGTTTGCAAATGATGATTTGGATTTTGGGTGTATCAATTTTACTTTGTTTTTCTATTTAGTAGTAATGGTAGTTCGTTCTAGTCATGTAAACTTGTGTTTTTTTATCCAGGAAAATAAAAAGCAATATTTACGCCTCGCAATATTAAACTTTGGCCATTATTATGTTTATATTCATTTTTAAAAATTATACATTAATGCCACCAATAAGTGTACACCTTAGAGGAAAAAAAAAAATTGATACTACTTCTACTAGACTATTAGTATCCGTTTATGAATTGAACAAAATTCCATAATGATATTACAATTATGTTTGAAAACATAAAAACTACTTCGTAAAATTATTCATCACTCATCTTCACATTATATTCATCATCACAAAATGTTCAGCTTAATAGGTGTAATTAAAAGATGAATAATTATACAAAATAATAAGTACATGTGTAAAATTATTTTGCTTCCAATTCAAAATTCAGAAAGCTTAATTCCTTAACCTTGTAAAATTGTTCATCACTCATCTTCACATTGCTACGTATTTGTATTTATTATTTTAATCTACTAACTTTGTTTTTTTTTTTTTTTGCTACTTTTTTTTTTTTTGCTACTTTAAAATGTTTTATATCTCATAAATAATACCCTAAAATTGCAAAAAAAAAAAAAAAATGAAACGGGGTAGTAGATTTTATGAGTTTAATCTATGTATTGTGTTCCCTCAACAACTAAATAAAGTTGGGTTTAACTAATATAAGCCCATTAAATCAATACATATTAATATAAATGGCCCAATAGATTAAGAGTGGTCCATAACTAGTAGAATTATTATATCCGGTCCATATGTAATATTTTAAGTTTAGAATATTATGAAATAAAGCAGTAAAAAGTCAACAATGCGGGGATAGCTCAGTTGGGAGAGCGTCAGACTGAAGATCTGAAGGTCGCGTGTTCGATCCACGCTCACCGCATTTTTGCTTTATTTTTTTTGTTTTTACGGCTTTTTGTTCCTGTTGGGCCATGCTACATTGCTAATAAGATGTTCCTGTTCGGCCATGCTACATTGCTAATAAGATGAATAGTATGATCCAATTTTAAGATGGACCTAATTGATCCACAAGACTAAGAATACTAAGATCATACCCATATTTGGAATTTTTTTTTATTCTTTTTTTTTTAGAGTAGTTAAGAAATATAACCACATTTTTTCCTACTCCCTCTGTTTTTATAAGTGCATCGGTTTGACCGGGGGTATTAGTTGACTGAAAAATAATACAAAGTATGTAGATGTGATACGGAGACTTAGATGTATTAAAGAGTATTAAGGTCTGTTTTCTTTAGTTTGATTTCAGTTCAATTCAGATCAGTTCAATTCAGTTCTAATCAGTTCAGTTCAATTCAGTTCAGTTCAATTCCAATCAGTTTCAGTTCAATTCAGTTCAATTCAGTTCCTAATTTCCTTCTCTCATAAAATATTCAATTCACTTCAGTTCAGGTCTAGTCAGTTCAGTTCAGCTCGGTTAAGTAAATCAGAACAAACCCTTAGTGTAAAAAAATGTATATGCTAGACTAAATTCCAAATTAGAAGCATAAAAAGTAATCTCAGGGGATGAAAATATAAACAATGTATAACTTAGTTCTGCCATAAAAATAGGAAAATATATATTAGTTGAATTAATCGGAGATAGTTGACAACTGAACCTTGTTGTATAGCATTTCACACACTTAAGCTAACCATGATATTAAAATATATGTAACAAAATATAGTATGTATTACATCTAACTTTTAGACGAAATTCAACCTCAAGTCACAAATACCACATGTCACGGGTACCACCATACATAAGTTTTCCAATCAAACGGGTACCACCATACATAAGTTTTCCAATCAAACTAATTAGCATTCAAGTGTATAGTACATTATATATTTGCATATAGCCATATAGGTTTATTGTGAGATGCTTGTAACTTGTAAGTTGTAATATGTGTACATAGATTTTGTACACCCTTTATAAAGGATAGACCTTATGAACTAATGAAAGAAATACAAATGGCATAATATGACTATAAGATTTGGGTTTTAATTATCACTTCAAGACTTAAACCAAGTAATTTACTTGAGACTTAGAAAATGATAGGATTATTTCTCCCAAAAAGACAATAACATTAGTAAAAAGGAAAATTTTTAACCATTACTATTAAACTAGTTGACATCCGTATCAAATATGAATTGTAAAATAAGTCTTCTTTTTTTTTTTTTTTTGGTGCGAATGTGGGGCAAGCGCCATGTAAATTAAAGCAAGTCTAGTCAACCTCATAAAATAGGGATCCTACCATTGAAGGGTTAATTTGAAGAGTATAAATGAACAAAAAAAAATTATTTATCTGTTAATTGGTAGTTTGTTCTTATATGTAACAAAAAGTAATTTTTGTTAAGAATTAGGGCTTTGTAACGTTATAATGTTGCTTTTGGTTTGGATTTTATTGTGAGCACCGTGTTTAAACCAGCACCACTCATAGTTGCCCAATTTCTGCCACTAGATAACCCTAGCATTATATCATAATATTATATATATAATCTTCTTATAATTTACAAACTTCATTTATTTTGTCAAAGATTACAAATTCATCAAGTTGAAGGTTTTGTATTCATGGTCAGATCAAAGGCTTATTTCAGCTTTACTAAACCAAGCAAAAAGACAAAAAGGTTACTATACTTATGTATTATACTTTAATTAATTAAAAAATTTCAATGGTTAAGTAATTGATATTTTCTTCTTTCTTTTAATCTTTTCTTAAACAGCTAGCTAAAGGAAAGAATTCGGCCGCGTGACAGGAAAAATGGTATGGTTTAATTTGATTATTGCTTGATGTTGATGTTAATAATGTTGAAAATCACAATTATTTTAGCAAGATAATTTCTGTTCTTGGAGGTATATGAGCAATTAGAGTTAGATCTATATAGACAAAAGAATTGTACATCTTCCAGTTTTTCCTCCTTTATGTCCAAACTTTTAGGTTAATTAAATTTGTTCTTTGAATGTTTCAGTTTAATTATCTGCATGAAAATATGTTAATCTTTTCAAGTGGTTTTATTTTTATATAAATGTGTAATGGGAAAGTAGGCAGAGAGCTTGAATGGCATTGTAGGATGCACAATGCCAAATTCCAGGAATTTTCAGATGTTTTAATTGGATGATTGTTGAAGCTTAAGTTGGAAATTTGATCATGCTAAAACTCGAAGCTATTATTAATCCGAGTATCTAGTTTCTAAGCTAAGGCATGTTCGGCAAAAGTTGTTGTATATGTAGCTAATTTATGTTATCTATTAGAAGTTAGCTATCAAATGAATGAACTACTAAGTATATTATCTTAAAGTTGGAAAACAGTACATCAACCTCTAAAATTTATCATAGAATAAGTTTTTACTAAACAACAAGCCACATTTCACCCTTAGAGTTACTACTTGTTGTGTAACTAACTCTTAATGTACTCACTTTTGTCAGATCTATTAAAACACGTAGATGAAAAGTATAATGTCTTTTTTGGAGTGTTTTTTTGTCGGCCACATAATATGAATGGCTTTATATCTTGATATGGATCCGGTTTATTTAATTTCTATGTGCTTGACATTATTAAGCATGGATGAGCCTTTTATAAGTAATACTTCAAGATCTTTTAAGATCAACAATTATAACCAAAAAAAACTTAAGGATAGTGTACCTATTGTTCAAAACACCTTAAACTGAAATAAAAGAAGTCGATATCTGAATTAGACAATCTAAATTAAAGTTAGCTATTCGAGATTTCAAATTGGTGGCTATTAATTAGAAATCTAGCATAGGGATGATTACTTTTTAGTAAGAAAGAAGCATTTTTAAGCCTAGGCATCTTATCATAGGATTCACATCTCCTAATAACATAAATTACATAACCAATAATTCACTGTTGACCTTGTAAAACCTAATAAGGACAATTATAGAACCCCCATCTACATATATGTAGCAGATCCCTAAGAAAACCAATTACCAAGATAATTAAAGCCGCATATGATACAATTAATAATATTATAATTAAGCTATTATCTTCTTAATTCACCTTCCCCAATAGGATTAAATTGATTGTGTGCTTTCGTAGTTCACACTGGTGAGCTAGCTACCTTTATGCTATAGTATAGTAACAAGAATATATTGATCATTGAGATTAATTTAGGAGAAGTTAGGTTTGTCTCTAATTATCCCTACAAAACGAGGATAACGAGCTTCATTATTATCTTCTTGGGATTGTTTAATAGCATATAAAGTATAATTTTGCTTTCTAATATTAATGTTTTGGTCTAATTAAGTGCATGCTGCCTAACCAAATCGAAACACGGCATGCCAAAGCTAGGAGGATCGGAGTTCATTAGCTTATCTTGGAGGAAGGATGAAGTTTGTTAATGTCTAATAAGTAATAAATGGTTAGTTCTTGATTGATCGAATATCCCAAAGGCGGGCATTGAATTATTGACAATTCGACCTAGGCATGGACACTTGATTTTGGACCAAAACTTTGATAGTTGAGTTAGACAGTTGGACACATATATACGTTTAATTTGACACGAGCATATGTGTCAATGTAAAATCCGCAAGGTTACATTAGTTCTTGTTTACCATCAGTCATTCCCTAATTATATGTTACACAGGTAAGCTCCTTCATAATAAAAGCATCATACATAATTATTCCCTCTTATTACCAAAGTAAGCCTAAATTTTTCAGGAAAGTTCCAAGCACATGTATGAAAGAAACATTAAGCATATTCAGATCAGTTATATTAGATACCTAATTAAGCTACTTTGAAATTGGTTTTGTCATTAAACTAAATTGTTTGATGATGTATAGACAGAAGATTTTGGTATGATGCTGATTAAATCCAAAATAAACTAATTACTTAAGAAAATGATCAGGAAGATTAGGGTTAACAACAGATTGAAGAGGAAAAACCTTTTATGACAAAAAGATGTCAGGTAAAAAAGATCCTTAAGTCAAAGCTTTAGGTCTTTATATAATTGAATCCAATTATAAAGCTAATAAAAGCTTAAATTTTTGAAAAACTCACATTATTATTATTATAATTATTGATTGATCTAACATCTTCCATGGGTACAGAAAGATCTAAGAAAACATTACTATAGAAGGCAGATAATACGAAATTAGGGTTTCGATCTAAAAGATATTAACAAATATTTATCTAGATTCTAAGATAGAGATTTATATAGGGATTCTATTTAATCATTGTAATCAAAGCTCATGCTTTGATCAACGAAAAAAGAAAAGGGAAAAAAAAAAAACAAAGATGTATGCAAGTAGCATCTCAAAAATTGGATAAAAACTAGACTTAAAAACCTTCAAATCATGGCTTAATTTGCTTCCTTTCACAATGAATATTGAGTGTAGCCAAAAGCCATAGAGTGAAGATCATCGGCGTCTTGGTAAGGCCATTTCGATTTATTCTCATACTCAAGAGAAGCCATGGAAGCCGAGTGATGAGATGAAGATCCTTCATAGCTAGCAAAAGAGGCATCTTGATCATCTTGTAAAACCATTGAGTTATGGTTATTATTATATCCTCCTTGATTATTATTTGATCCATAGATTGTTGAAGATTCGGCGCTACAGTTGAGGTGGTTTGGATCAAAGGGAGGTACCATTTGTGGGTACTCAGATTGCAACCAACTATGAACATCTTGAGGGTAATTAGAAGAAGATCTTTCACTAGGGTTTTGATTAGAATTATTACCATTTAACAAGCCTTGAGCTGCTTGTAATTGCTTTAAAGCTGCTAATCGTGCTTGCAAATTTACAACCTGCATAATTTTTCATCAAAAATTATAAATTCCTCATTCGATTCAAAAATTAGGGCTACTAAGAGCCACAAAAAAAATGAATAAACAATAAAAACACGCGATTTAATTTATCGTGTTTTAGATGAGACACAGATTACCTGTTGTTGTAGGGCAAAAATATGAGAAACACACCCATAGATGGGGTCTTGGAGCCTAGCTTGAGCCTCATAAGAAATGGTGATGGCGGCCTCACTACGATCACTAGCCGGTAAATGAGCAAGTAGTTTCGACACATTACTCGCCCCGAAAACCTTATGGATGGCTGCAAAATGAGTAGCACCTTGTTCATGACAGAAATAAGGTGCAAAAACACAACCCCTCACACATTTCCTCCTCAAGAACTTGCAAGCACCACAAGGTGAACTTGAACCAGTCATTTTTGCTTAATTTTTTGGATACTAAATTATTTTTTGTGAATTAGTTTATGCTTAATTTTAATTTAGGTGAAAAAAAAGATAATAGTTGTTACTTGTTTTAAGGGAGTTTTGAAGGCCAAAGGAAAGAAGAACCTCCATGTTTATAAACACCATAGGATGGGGGAGGTTTACTATATTTTAATCATTACTTTAATTACATTATGTTCCCTTAATGGCCTACAAACTATATTATTAAATTGGTTAATTATAAACCCCTCTCTTCTTTAACTTAACCCCTCCATTGTTATAAGATCATATGATTAAATTAATTATTAATAATAATAATAATAATCTCATACTTTAATTAGAGACTCCCACATTCAACATCCTTAAACGACAAGAGCTAGGCATAAACCAAACCCCATTTATGTATCTATCTGGATGTCTATTGGATCCATTTGTAATTAACCATTTTTTTTTCACAAAAAATAATCTTAATCAATTGTTATTTGCCAATTTACGTATAAATAATTATTCTTTCTTTTTAGTATCCCGAGGTGCATGTTGTAATTTTAGGTATTTTAAAATAGGAATCTTCCAATATTTACCTTGGATTAGTAGTAAAAATTGTTTATATAACCTTACATTTTTCATATGTTTTTTATGCAAATTGACAAGTCATTGTATTATAATTGTACTCGTAACTATGTCATTAATATAATTTGTTTAAGCAATCTGACCGAATTATTTATTGGAATTGAGATTTATCTCGAATGATTATGATAGTATTAGTCAATCTTTACCATTTTATAGAGAAATAGACTTTTTCATGACACTATGCTTTACAGTATATCATAATGTGTACGCGCAAATAATGTACTGTATTGATTTAAGACAATCTTTATAATTTTATTGTAGGTGGACTTAGAGTTTGTATGAACCAATAAAATTGTGTTATTGTTTATACAAGTTAAACTTATTTATTTGTTGTGTATACATCCTCAATCGATGTAATAATAATGTAATATGTAGCCTCGGCACAAATGTGCATGGTAAATGATTGTTATGTTGAGCAGATGTTTACACACCCGGGTGTATAATAAAAGCAAATTAAAGGTTGTTATAATCATCTTAGTTTAATTTATATGCACAACAAATGTGAGATTGTAAGAAATCGCAAAATGTATTTCAATAAGGTAAAATAATTTCTGGTTTATTCAAATTAATGCATTTTTTTGGTCATTTTGCAAATAATAATATACACAAGCTAATATCTGTTTTTCTAGTTCTTAAAAAACAGGATGACTCAGCTTTTGATCAGTTGATAATAACTACACTACTAGAAGAATTCTTTTGTTAATTTTTATATAATTTGGACAATGCCATTATGCCAACTGCCAATGACAAAATGATGGGCAGCTTTAAATGATCATTGAACAGAAGAAATAAATTTGATTTATAATATATATGCTAAGACAAAATAAAGAGAATAGACATCAAGAAAACTATGTTTGAACAGTCAAAAGGAACCATGAGAAATAAAAATATACTTCATATTTTCTTATTAGGTACAAAATGACACTATGAAATCATCATTGTCCTACTATATATTAATATTTAATGTACATTTTTACATATTCTTAGCTTAATAAAAGCAGTTACATACATTTAACTACAAAAATTTAACAGAATTAATCACACAAATCTTGATTTTGGAAGCTTTGCTGTCTAATTAAAATTATTAAGCATAATAAGCTTTATTACTGTAAAATCTGACACAAACCCACTTCAATCTTACAGGGAAGTTTTCGGTCCCACTTAATTAAATTTTAATTATAAGATTAAAAGATCCTTCTAATAATTAAAGAGGAAACATAAGGAATTTGTAATTGGATAATTATTATATTAATATGAAACCATAAAAGAGTTGTAACAATGTCCCATATTTGAGACATTGGGTCACCCCAATATATTTTGGCTACATGTTAATATAATTACATTAGAACTTTCTAATTAGGTTAATTAAATTAGTGGTCAATTGTTATTTTATATATATAGAAAAGCAAAAATAAAATAAAATAAAAATTGCAAAGTGGAAAAATAATGGTTGAAATAATAAAATTAAGGGTATTTTGATTTTTACCACCTTCAAATAACCACTTAATTGAATTTACCACCTCCAAAAAAAAAAGATTTACTTTACCACCACCAAAATTTCCAAAAAATCGATTTTACCACCAACTACCAGATTCCGTCCATGAATCCGTTAGTAGGGCCCACGTTTTTTACGTTTCTTCTTCATCTTCCCCGATCTTCCATGTCAACCAACCAGCAACGAAATCAACTACCTCGGTTGGTCGGAATTTCGTGTGGGTTTCGCGTCTGGGTGGTGGTGGTTTCGAGTCGCGATGGTTTCGCGTCTGGCTGGCGTGGTTTCTGGTGGGTGGTGGTGGTTTTGAGTCGGGGTGGTTTCGCGTCTGGGTGGCGGTTGTTTCTGGTCTGGGTTTGGATGGTGGTGGGGTTGGTCGTAGCTGTTAGGTGGTGGCTAGGGTTTTGAGGTCGGAAATTGGTGGAAAGGGGTAGAAATCGGTGCGGCTGTGGTGTGCGGTGCGGTAGTAGCGATTAGGTGGTGGGTTGGTCGTAGCTATTAGGTGTTGACTAGGGTTTTGAGGTCGGAAATTGGTGGAAAGGGGGTCGAAATCGGCGCGGCTGTGGTGTGCGGTGCGGTGGTAGCGGTTAGGTGGTGGGGTTGGTCGTAAATGTTAGGTGGTGGCTAGGGTTTTAAGGTCGAAATCGGTGTGGTGGCTGTGGGTCCCGACGGTGGCTGGTAGCGGTTAGGTGGTGGGGGCTGGTTGTAACGATTAGGTGGTGGGGCTGGTTGTAGCCGGTCCGGCGGTGGGGGTCCCGACGGTGGCAGCAACCATCGGTTGCTTGATGGGGATTTTTTATTTTTTATTTTGTTTTTTTTTATTTATTTTTTTAAAACTTAACCAATAATATGGCGACACGTGTGCAAGGTAGGCCCCACTAACGGATTTTTGGACGGAATCCGTTAGTTGGAGGTGATTGGTGGTAAAACTGATGTTTAATTTTTTTATGAGGTGGTAAAGTAAATGTTTTTTTTTTTTTTTGAGGTGGTAAATTCGACAAAGTCGTTATTTGAAGGTGGTAAAAATCAAAATACCCTAAAATTAATGGAGCCTATTATTCTAAAATTGAAACAAAACAAAAGGTTGTGACAGAAAGATAGAATCCTTTGAAAAATAAAATACAAAAAATAAGATTTCTCACTTTGTGTAATCAATTGTGTACGTGTGTGTGTATTTGTTTATGTATAAGAGGGTCACAGCTTGTCGAGCAATACGGCAGTATTATTAATTAAAATTATTATCACTAATTAAGCTAAGATCAATAATTTAATTGAATTTTGATTTTTAAGTCACTTTCTAGTGTCACACAATGGTACCCAACAAACAAGAGATCGACCTTACTCTAAATGTGAATATTAGAATAGCCCCCACATAATTATGAAATGGTCCCTTTAAATTGACTTGATGTCCCTTAGCTTGTCCTTCTACTTTGTTTTCCTCGCTCTTCTATACATTTTGTTTTTGATTAAAGATGGAATTAACTAGGGTAAAGATCTATTATTTGACATTCAAGTTATAATTAATAATAGATTACTCATTTATCATGATAATAATTTGTCATTGACAAAAGAGATATGTATTTGTATAATTAACAAAACATCAATGGTCATGACTTTTAAATCAGATTCAACATATATACATAGTCATTTATTGATACAGACTAAGGGCATGTGCTTGATAGGTCACTGGTTCGAATCCCTTGAATAATTGTATAGCTAACAAGATATTGGTTATCATGACTTATAAATCGGAAATAACAAAATCAATCATAACTTAATGCTAGAGGCATTATTTGCCCAGTGTAATAGACTAAATGCAAGTGTTTGATAGATCATTATTTTTGAATCCGTTTTATTTTTCATTTGTTATTATTAGAGTATGTAATTGTTGGAGTACCAACTCAATCAAAAGCTTAAATAAGTTGGTGGTTGATGATGTGGATTAATAAGTTTATGTAATTTATCATGCCCCATTGCCCCCTCACATGAAAGTCCAAAGAGTTTAAAATATGGATGTAACTTGGGCCTCTTCATACCCAGCGGCCACTACAAGAAAAATGTCTTTTCGTAGCGATTATTTCGTAGCAATTGTGCATTCGCTACAATATGCAAGTATGTTTGTGAAATAATTAAGGAAGTCGTATCATTTTACAATCGCCATGATTTTCCCATATAAAATCGATACGGAAAACATAGTAATACATATCCACACTATTTTTACACATTTATATAATTTTGAGAAATCGTATCATATACAATCGCCACTAAATCCTAAAAATCGATACGAAAAGTCTTTTCAACACTAGATATATAAATCTTGTTTGACAAAGAGTACATAAAATATGTCATAGCTTATTGGTGAAACATTTAAAAAAAGAGATTGAGGTTACATGTTCGAATCTTGTAAAGATCATACGCATGTTTTTTTTTTGAAGAAAATGAGTTAAACATTAATAGCGATTGTAATCGCTACAATAATCACCACAATTGAATTTAGTTTTTCATATCGATTATTGAGGCCAACCCCAACGATATTAAAAACCACTACTAAAGGTTAAGGCAACGGGGGATATTGTATCGAATGACCATTCGCTGGGAAAGCTTTTTGTTGCAATTACAATCGATACTAAAGGTTAAAATAATCGATACTAAAGGCTAAGGCAACGGGGGATATTGTATCGAATGACTATTCGCTGGGAAAGCTTTTTGTTGCAATTACAATCGATACTAAAGGTTAAAATAATCGTTACGAAAAGGTTATTTTCTTGTAGTGGGCCACCATGAAATAAATTTCACTTGAAAGGGAAGAAGGGTGAGATTTGAACAGATTAAGGCCTTTTGTCACACTAGCTTAATATCATATTAGAGGATCAACTAATTAATTAACTTAATTTGATAGTTGAAGCCTAATATTAATTTATATACTCTGTCACTTTCGGTAATTTACGGCATGCATGTGTGGCTTTGAACCTATATGAGTAGGTACACACCTCTTCATCTCATTAACTAATTAACCATATGACGGTCGCAAGAGGGATGGATAGCTTATTACAGTAGCCTTATAAAATAATTAAATCTCTATTCTCTTTATCAATTTGGGATACTCACGTATGTTGTTCAGAGATACAGGTTATAAATTTCAGTTTGCACACATTCCAAAAAAAAACTTCCAGATTTTCCTTCCTTTGACAACATAGATATATAGGCAAAACTAAAGTGACGTGACAATTTTACGCGTCTATCTTACAATCTATATGATAATTTCAAAATCGCCTTACTTAAGAGTTTGTGTTGTGATACATGTTTCATTAAATCACCACTACACTATAGAAGATGACAAGGCTAATCAGATGGAGAAAAAACATTGGATGACATAAACGTAACAAAAGAAGCTAATATAAGGTGGTACAATAACAATAATGTACATTATATTTATGCATGGAAGCATTGCACGCATTTGCATAGCCAA